AAGTTTGAAAGAAACACAGTGATAAACATGTGGATTCACAAAAACTGCACAACCCAGGCAATATGGGTTAAATAGCAGGTTGCTTCTGCCTCTCACAAATGATGGACCAATGTAATATGGTCTTGAGTGCACTGGAAGATGAATAAAATGCAGATACAGTGCACACAGACTTTGCAAAAAGCCTTTGACAAGTGCAATCATGTGCATTACACACAAAATGCAAGCAACAGGAATAACTTGAAAAGTGGGCAGATGAATATTAAATTTTCTAAGAAATAAAACATTAAGACTAATAGTAAGTAAAGTCAAATTAGAGTAAATCACAGTGAAAAGTGCTCTTTTCCAAGGCACAATACTCAGCCCAACTTTTTCTTATTTTCAAATCTGACATGTAAAAAAAGACATCAATCATAACACCATTTCATCTTTTGCAGATGATACTGGAATTGGTGTGAGTGGCATCCATTGAGGACAAAATAAATCTTCAAGGTAATATAAACCAAGTCTACCAGTGGGCCACAGAAAACTATATGATGCTTAATGAGGATAAATTTCAATTACTGTGCTATGGAAAAATTTAGGAAATAAAAATGAGAACAGAGCATAAAACAAACTACAACCACTCAAAAGTGAAAGATTAATGTGAGGGACTTGAAAGTGATAATGTCAGACCTTACATTCAAGGATAACAAAATCAGTAGTGTTATCACATGTGTAAGAAAAATGACAGGTTCAATAGCTAGAGCCTCTGAAACAAGAGATGCCATGCCAGTGATGAGACCCTTTAAGTCACTTGTTCTCTACAGACTGGAATACTGCTGTATACTAACAGACCCTTGTAAGGCAAGTGTAATGGCAGAGGATCAGAAGGTTGTTTGAACTGTCATGTCATTGCACTTCTGGAAGGACAGGAATTAAGTGAATGGCAGTGAATTCATTTCCTCTTTTGTTGGGTCACTTCTACTTCGGTGGGAGATAGCTGGTGTATTAAAAGAATACAGATCTGGAGAATGTACAGAGAACCTTCACTGAGCATATAAATTTAGTCAAAGTTATTGGAAATACAGTGAACCCCCGGTTAACGATATTTTTTCACTCCAGAAGTATGTTCAGGTGCCAGTACTGACCGAATTTGTTCCCATAAGGAATATTGTGAAGTAGATTAGTCCATTTCAGACCCCCAAACATACACGTACAAATGCACTTACATAAATACACTTACATAATTGGTCGCATTCGGAGGTGATTGTTATGCGGGGGTCCACTGTACTTAAAGTTCTTCAATTTATACTCCTTGGAATGTAGTGAGAAAGATGCATCATTATATACACCTGGAAACTCTAGAGGTAATGATCTCAAATCTGTACACAGACAGCACTATGAGAGCAAGAATATCAGCAAATGGTGGAAAATGCCCCCAGCAAAAAGCAGGATTGCATGAGTATACTATACGATAACTCAAAAGTGTAAAGGGGCCAAGATGTTTCAAGACCCTCCTTTCATACATAAAGGGAATTACCAACAGACCACTTGTTGTCTTCATGTGTGATTCAATAAGCTCCTTATGTCAGTTCTTGATCAGCCATGCTGTGGTGCCTACTTTGGGCTGTGTACAGCTAGTACTAACAGCCTGGTTGATCAGACCATCAACCAGGATAACTCAGCTTGGGGGGTGACCCCCAAAACTGTCTACAGGTAACTTTCAGATTACAATACATTTTACACTACAGTATTCTCACTGAATATTGATACTATTCTGCTCATGAAGTAATGTTTTCAGTCATAAATAGTCCCAACTTTTGTAAGGGCTAGAGTGCATTTATAAGAACTTAACTGGTTCCACAGTACCCTGATTGTAAGTGCAGATGATAGTAAAAAGGATGATAACAAATTGGGGACCTTGTCTGCTTCATCTTTCTAGGTGAGAATTTATATAACATTGCTAAATAATTTTGTCACCTAACAGTCTTGTCAATTCTTCTTTATCTTCTAAGGATAAATTCTATTCCTCTTGATACAAACTTCCCTAATCTATTTTTTTTTTTTTTTGACAAACTGACTATATCTAAATTATTCATTATTCGCTTTCTCTCACCACTACTTGGGATCTTCTTACCATTCCTTCAACTTACTCTTCAATGGTAGCTTAAAAGTTGAGCCTTACAAGATACTGAAACATGTGGATGAGAAATAAGTAGAATCCTGGAAGTGATTAATCATTAACATTGCTGTACTGAAGTCATCACTGTCACCCATCTGATATGCTGCTGGCTGCTGGCTGGGTTGCACATATGGTTATCTTTATTTCTACTGTTTTCACTCTTCTTCTGCTCAACCGTAGCAACAGGAAGAGCCTTATAAATCTTCTTTGTCAGATTATGTATACTGATCCATTTCTTTTAATGTCTCCAGAATTTTATCCACTGCTTACAGATTGCTTGGTTTCCTCTTCCTTGGAGTAAATCTCTGCTCTCAGTGACCTCAACATCATTTTTAATTTTATTTAGATATTTAGTAACCCGAAGGATAAATAAAGACAATTCTGCGGATCACCACCCTTGCAACCCAGTTCAAAACCAGGTCTTCTGATGGATGGCCTGATCAACCAGACTACTTATGTTAGCCCCACACACTCTAGTGTAGGTACCACAGCCTGGCTAACCAAGAACTAACTTATTCAGATTAGAAACTTCTCCAGTCTCCTTTTGAAGATAGTTAGGGTTCTGTTGGCAATTATCATGTTGAAACTTCTCGGTCAATTTGTATTTCTTGATTTATCTCTTAAGTGTACTTAGCACATCCCCCTGCTTTTCACCAAGGGTATTCACTGAGCGCCTTCATTTTGTAAAGAGCAGTTTTGATGTGTGTACAAATCTGGGACCAAGCCCTCCAGAATTTCTTGGGTGTAAATTATGACATATCTTTCTCACCTATGTTCAAGGGATGTCTAGTTTTCTTAATAATTTGGGTGCTTGATTGAATTTCTACAGGCAGTAAAGGCTCTTTGTACATTCTTCAATTCTGCATAGTGTGCAATCTAGAGTGCACATGTAACTTAAATAGTTATCATCATTGCCTTGACATGTTTTATCTTGAAGATTCTAGTTATTCAACCTCTCAATTTGCTTGTTGTCTGTGATAGCAATACTGTTGTATCATTAAATATAAGAGCTTCTCACATCATCACTCTTAGCTTCCTCATACTTTTCTTCTGCTCTACTGACCAGTTTAAGCTTGTGTTATACTTCATTTCAGTTTTAAATTACTTTTTCTTTAGTAAAGGACCTGAAATTTGTTTTCATTCAATATCATATTGCTTTCTGTGACTCACTGAAAGACCTGGTTAACATCAGTTTAAAGATTTGCTGTGTTCTCAAAGGATGCCACTCTCATACAAATTCTAGCATCTTTTGCAAAGGATGACAGGGTAGTATGAAATTATCTCTGTCTATGTCAAATATAAGCATGAGAAGAGCTCCATGCCTTAAGGAACAAAGCTTGTCACTGAGGCAGCCACTGATCTTACTCTGAGAATTATCATCTGCATCTGATTTCTTAGAAAACTAAAGATTCATCTGCCTACTTTCGAGTTATTTCTTTGTGGAGTTGGGCTACGTATATGATATTTAATGACTGGAGGATGACTCCTGCACCCAGACTCCATCTCCATATGACATTTAAAGCATGTCATGGTTTTTCTCAATATTTCGATGAACGTGGAATTCCTGCATCTGGGCCTTAGGAACAGTGTATGGGTATACTGTATTGTCAATAGATTCTTCAAAATCAAGTGGGATTAGGGTTATGTTGGATATTTTGGAGCTTGGCAGAGTTTTGGGTCACATTCACAACAAATTCTTTTTTAAAGCTGTACAAAATAAAAAACTAAATAATTATGAGGCTATCACTGCACAGTTGTTACTCAAAATTATTAACTCAAAGAGTGAGGTTGAAGCTTGCTGATGCTTACTGTCTGAAGGACAATATTTTCTCTTCACAGATGAGGATTGGTCACTTGTATATTAAGGTTGCATGGAAAGAAACACCTGTTAACCAGGACAAACCAGCATCTTGGATATAACATAAGACACTTTTCCTTACATTCAAATCTTTAGATAGTGAATACCTTTCTATATGCAGATAATTCTTTCAAACATTTTAATCACTTGATTAAATTTTTTGAATTAGCCTATTTATATTAATAAATTTTTAAGAATACCATTATTAATTTTCATTCTATCCACTTCACTGGAGAATGAAATTACTACACCAGTGACAAAATTTCACTGATGAAAATAGCATCATCATCCTTTATGTATAACTGTCATTATTATTACTAAGAACATTCTACCTTTATGTATAACTATCATTACTTTTACTATGAATATTTTACTTCCCATAAAACATTTTACTTCATATACATTTTTATGCAATTTTTGTACTTTAAAACCACATAATGAATTTGATATTACATAATTCTTTTTGAAAGAAGCTTTTTAAGACAGAAGTAGGCCGGCCAAATTGGCCCAGAGAGGAAAAAAAGAAGGGAGGCATTGGGTCTAACTGAGAAGTGGAATAGGTGTAAGGTTGGTGAGGTATGCAAGGACTGTTCCATGCCATGGAAAGGGAGGTATGCCAGTGTCCCACAACCAAACTACAATACAGCAAACCAAACCAATGTTAACTAACTACTGCAGGAAAATCATTGATTTAAAAAGAAAGATGTTTATTTTAATTTATAAAAGTATACATAAGCTGCAATCAAAATCTCAAAAGTAATAATTAATGAAGGGAGTGTATGCATGAGTAAGTGTATAACTATACAAAAATACTACTACAATGGTACCTGCACTGTTAGAAATTTTAATAATAACCGTGAATCCCAAAAGTACAAGAAGAGCAAACTTCTTTATTTCCATAAAATCTACCAATGCAGAAACCTTTATTTTGCATCCCCAAGATGCCTGAGTATAGGGCGAGAAGCATAAACAGTATCTTACCTGCCATCTGCCCTGGTGCTGACATAGTTCGTTGAATACGATACTGTTGTTGTTGCTGCTGCTGTTGCTGTTGCTGATAAATTAAAGGTGACTGTCCTTGCTGCGGAGAGGAGGGAGGGTAGGGGTGTGAGTCTCCTTGCCCAGTAGCCCCAGGTGTGTGAGGACCTATGCCTTGATAAGGTGACTGACGGGCACTAGGGCTCGGCACAGAACGCATGGAGGGTAACTGGTTCCGCCCGCCACCCTGAAACTGTCGTCCCCCATCGTTTCTTATAAAGGACTGAAACCAATATAATCCTTTAGGATTACCATACTTAATTTACAATATGAATGCATAAATATAATTATTCACTAAACTTAAAAAAAAAATTGTTTTTACTAAATAATTTACTGTGCACAAAATAATTATTCACCTCTTTTTTCATATTATTCAATAGCACTAACTTGAGAAACAAACTCACAGAAAGTTGCGCATTCAGCATTGGGTTCTGGGTCATTAGGGATGGCCGCTGTTGCGGACTAGGAGACGACCACACCGGACTTTGCTGACCAGGGGGTACTTGTACCACAGGTGTTCCTGGAGTGCCAGGGCCTGTGGGGGACATTTGAGGAAGGGGTTGCCCTCCTGGTTGATAGCTTGGCGGAACTGGTGACCCCTGGGATAATCTTGGGGATAGTTGAGAGCCTTGTGCTCCCTGGTATCCACCCATCTGCCCACTGTTTATGTCATCAAGATGATATAAAAATATATTAATGACACTGAATCACTGCACAGAGCTCAAACCTATGGCAAGCCAGTCCTAAAACCAGCAGGCCAATGTGCTATCCACTGATTACAGTTTTATTAATATCAAATTGTAAGTACAGTGATACCCCAAGTTTCAGCCATAATTTGTTCCAGAAGGCTGTTCGAGTGCCATTACCAAATGAATTTGTTCCCATAAGGAATAATGTAAATTAGATTAGTCCGTTTCAGACCTCCAAAAATACACTTAAAACAGCACTTACAATAATACACTTACATGATTGTTCATGTTGGGAGCTGTATGAAACTTGGGGTACCACTGTATATCCAAAGCCTTAGAGTAATGGTTCAATAACAGGTCAAGTAGAACCCTTAGGAAAGAAGGCATCAAAATATATAGATACACACAAACCCTCCTGTTGAAGGGAAACACACCCAATTATTGCCACTATTAAACTTAGAACATAGGAACAGCATCAAGCACAAGTGACTGCAGATTAACCCTTTGACTGCCGCAACTCCCAATCCTGAGGTGTCTCCTGGTGTCGCAAAATTTAAAAAAAAAAAAATTATTTTTTCTTATGAAATGATAGAGAATCTTTTCCTGATTGTAATGACACCAAAAAAACGAAATTTGATGGAAAACTGATGGAATTATGCTCTCGCAAAGTTAGCGACCTCGGCGCTGTTTACAAATCGGTGATTTCGCCCACTTGGAGCCCTATTTTCGGCTAATTTCTTTGTTCCAGTCGCCCAAACTCATAGCTATTTCTTCAGAACTCCATTTTTTCTATCGATTGAGTACAAGAAACTGCCCATTTACCGATTTCAACTACCTAATAATGTGGTCAGAAATTTGCAATTTGGCCAATTTCACGAAAACTAAAAAATATGACAATTTCAAAATAAGGTCCAGAATGAACAATGCAGACATTCCTGGCTCTAAAATAACATTTTCTTTGTTCATCAGTCATGTCTCCAGGCCCCTCTGATATTACCCTTGCTTTCTATTTTGAATTTTTATTCAAACAAAAAATAGAAGACTTACTATTATGCAGACTACTGCAATACTGTAATAATTGTATAAATAAAATCAACCCATTCATGACTGCATGGCTAGTTGGACAATGGCATCATTTGTTTACTTTTGAACATTGGCAAAAATCAAACATTTCCCCTACTTTAAGCTCCATTTCTAGGTTCTTTTTATAGTAAAATCAATCAAAATCACCTTTATTTCTATAATATGTTTTCCATTCTATCAAATGAGACCAAGAAAACGAGAATACAACCATAAATACTATACGAAAATAGACCACAAAGTCGGCATTATGCACTGCGTGCTCCAGGATTTTTTTTATATGGTGCACACTGACCACACAGACCCATTCTCTCACATGTGGGCCTACCAGCTTTCTCCTGCTTGATTTGAAGCCGCTAGAATTTATGAGTATATATACGTCAAACACGGTACCTCGTAAGACGTATATATACGGCCGCTACAGTCAAAGGGTTAAACTTGAAACACAAACTTAATGACTTGACAGTCCTTCACAAAAAAATTGCAGTCCTAATGAAGTAGACAACATCAGTCACCTTAATTCAAAATTATCAATGGCTACCACAAAATATATTTAATATGTTGATGTATAATACATAACAGCAATAATCTCATATGCATTTACAAAAATCAAAATGCACAGGTACCACACACGTAGGAGAATGAAATTTACGACAACGTTTCAGACTGAAACATCATAAGTTTCATTCTCCTATATGCAGGTCATTTGTCCATTATTCCAAAATAATCACATCAAGATATTTTCATCCTCTTTAACTAGAGAAACTTTAATAAGGAAAGAGTAATAAAAGTGATCAAGTATATTTCTACAGTATTCCCTATTCTTGATGCATTAGACATGTAATTCATGGAGTGTATACTGACAGAATGATTACAGAGACTCCCCTACACATGAACATTCACGTTGTGAACTTTCATTAATACAAACAATTTGCCCTTAAGACAAAAATTTGGGTGTAAGATTGAGTTCATAGTCCACCGTGAGGTGGTGGTACTGTAGTGCAGGAAGCACTGCGATGTAAATAATACATAATAGGTTACTCTAGTGGCATTGTTCATATGTGTGCTTGTGCTCTCTTCACAAATTTAGTGAGCATAATAAAGAATGTAGCTCAAGGTGAAAAGATGGTGAACATCACCCATTCATACATGAATCGTTCCACCATTAGCACAATTTTCAAGAACAAGGACAAGATTATGGAACACATGAAATTTCAGTGCCAATGCAGTCTACAGTAATCAGAGCAGACGTGGAAAAGTGACGGAAGATTTTGAAGAACTGTTAAGCATTTGGCTCAAAAATCAGCAACAGTGTCAGGTGTTGCTAAGCCTAATGCTGATCCTCGTGGAGCTGGAAACCCAGAGAAAGGAGGAAGAAAAATAAGAGGAAGTGTAAGTGATTCCAAAACCAAAGCGCTTCCAGATAAAAATGATGGCAGAAGGGTTTTGTTTGTTTGAAGAATCTCTGTCATTGTTTGAATCACAGGACCTGAATGTGGAATAGTACACCAAGGTTACAGCAGCTGTCCATCATACAATTCCCTGCTACCATCTCATCTATGAAGAGAAGAAGGAGGCCACCACCCAGACATCCCTAGACTGCTTCTTCAAGAGGGTGGACAAAGTCTCATCAGGAGCCTGAATCAGTGCCATCGATTTCAGATGCTATGACATTCAAGCCAACACCTTCTCACTGTCTGTTTTATTAAATTTATATTATTTGCAAACTTTATTATAAACATTATAAACTTTATTTCATTTAAAATATGTTTTGTTTACTAGTATACAGTAAGTATTTTTCCTGTGTCCACGTATATGTTTAAACTGTACACTTCTAGGTTACTCAGTGTTCATACACACATATACTACACTACTGTACAATATTGTATATGTACACATGTTGGACTTACGAACAAATGAACCTATGAATGACCGCTCAGAACTGAACCTGTTCATAAGTAGGGTAGTACAGTGGAACCTCGGTTTTCATATGCCCTAATCTGTATGTAAAATTATAGTTATTCTCTATAAAATATATTTTTTGTTAATATTTCCCATTAAAAAATGATGTAAATCCAATTAACCTATTTCAGACACCCAAAAATATATATAAAAAAAAAACACATTTTATAATGAATAACTATAGTTTTATATAGAGACTAGGGCATATGAAAACAGAGGTTCCACTGTACAGTGGTACCTTGACTTACGAGTGCCCCAACTTATGAGTTTTCCAAGTTACGAGCTGTCGCTCAGTCAATTTTTTGCTTTGAGTTGCAAGCCAAAATCCAAGTTACGAGCGAGCTTCAGATACACTGCCACTAACTGGTGGCGTATCTGAAGTCAAATCAAACTCTGTACCCAGAGGAATGTCAGGTACTTCATCCCATCCCACATGCTCTTCCATGACATTACTGGAAGGATAATACTCCCACACTAATCCCAGATTGTAGTGAGGCCCCCTCGTACCTTGAGTTTAATCCGTTCTGTGACTTGCTCGCATCTGGATTTGCTCATTTGCAGAGTCATTTTTTCCTCATTTAAATTAATTGAAATGCAATTAATCTGTTCCATTGGAATTCTGCACTTCAATAATTTCCCTGATATCAACTCTTTCAGCCCAGGGAGGTACTACCGTCCTGCCAAGTGAGTGTAAAACGAAAGCCTGTAATTGTTTTACATGATGGTAGGATTGCTAGTACCCTTTTTTTCTGTCTCATAAACATGCAAGATTTCAGGTACATCTTGCTACTTCTACTTACACTTAGGTCACACTACACATACATGTACAAGCATATATACACACACACACACCCCTCTGGGTTTTCTTATATTTTCTTTCTAGTTACTGTTCTTGTTTCTTTCCTCTTACCTCCATGGGGAAGTGGAACAGAATTCTTCCTCTGTAAGCCATGCGTGTTGTAAGAGGCAACTAAATGCCGAGAGCAAGGGGCTATTAATCCCTTCTCCTGTACAAATTATTAAATTTAAAAAGAAAAATTTTCATTTTTCTTTTGGAGCCACCCTGCCTTGGTGGGATACGGCCAGTTTGTTGAAAAAAAAAAAAGGTGTGGTTGACAGACAGGAAACAGAGTTTGCATAAATGGGAAGAAACCAGAGTGGGGATGTGTCACAAGCAGTGTTCCACAGAGGTCAGTGATGGGTCCTTTGTTCTTCATAACATACATAAACGACATTAATGAGGGAATAAATAGCGAAATAAGCAAGTTTGTTAATGACACCAAAATAGGCCTTGGTATTAATTCTGACAAGAACACTAAAGCACTACAGGAAGATCTGAACAGACTGATGCAGTGGTTGGAGAAATGGCAGATACACTTTAATACAGGTCAGCCATCACTAATCCAGCAATCATTTATCTGGTTTCATCAGTAATCCTGCACTAATTTCGGCTAGCATAATTTCAAATTTCATCATTATACTGACTCAGAAATTGTGCAGATCGTTGTAAATCCACAGCAGCAAATCAGTGGAGGAGAAAGCAGTGATGAAAATGAGGAAGATGTAGCAGAGTCTCTATTGATAGATTAATTAAGTGTATTCTAACCTAACCACTCTGTAATCCAGCAAACTCACTAATCTGGCACACTTCAGGTCCCAATGATGCTGTATTAGTGATGGCTGACCTGTATAGACAAATGCAAAAGTCTAAGCCTTGGAAAAGAAAACAACCATGCCAATTATAAACTAAATAGTTTTTTTTATTAACACATTGGCCATTTCCCACCAAGGAAAGGTGGCCTGAAAAAGAAAAACTTTCGCCATCATTCACTCCATCACTTTGAATGCAAAAAGGATTCAGAGGTTTTGGTTAGCAGCAATCTTAGTAAAGCCAAGACAACAGTGTGTAAGGCCTCATTTACAGATTAT